TTTTGCGGATGGGACAAAAATAATCCCAGATTGCCCATATCTCTGTTATTTCTCAACGGACCTTCTTCGGGTTTTCATTTTTTTGATTCTTTGGACGAATCCCATATGGACTCTGACTGACGATGCAACTAAATATTAAATATGAATTGGGTTATTTTTGGCAAACAGGAAGTGTTTTACGGATGGGACAAAAATACTCCCAGATTGCCCATATCACTGTTATTTCTCAACGGATCTTCTTGGGGGGTTTCATTTTTTGATTCTTTGGACGAATCTCATATGGGCTCTGACTGACGGTTTTTCGAAATTCGGAAGTTCGCTCGATTAATACTAGCATAAAAAATTTGCGAAAGTTTTCTTCATCATTTTTTTTCCAAATTCAAGATGGCGTATCTCCGTCATTATTTGAGGTATCACGATGAAACTTGCTAGGAATAAGGAACACATCGATGCGTTCAAAATGGCATATTACAAAATTTGTAACGGCTTCCAGAAATTTCCGAGGCCTTCTCATTTTTCCCGAACGTGAATAAATCTCTCCATTTTAAAAAATAGACTAAAAATGACACATGGTGGTGTTAGCCCCAGATATTATCTTTCATTTTCACCCGTTTGGCCGGCATATTGGATTTTACCAAAAATACTGACAAATCGATATTCAGCCGTCATTTTGATTAGATTTTTGGATTTCTTTTTCGTTTTGAACCTACTCCAAATGGCAACAATACTTAGGGAACCGATTTTTGAATGTCGATTTTGTTTACTCCCGGTTTCACATTATATTTTATTTGATTTTTCACGTTTTAGCTGGTGACCTAGCCGTTCAATGACCCTTGACCTTTGCATATATGGTGATTCTGACGTCTACTGACAAGTGATTTAAAAAAATTATATACTCGTAAGTAAAAATAGTAAATTTAATGGACCATAGATCAAGGATATTGAAAATGAATCAACTGTAGACGTAAATATAGTGCTCTCTCTGACGTCCGTACTTAGCATGCCGGAGGCGCTGTGTATCTTCGTTAACTTAATTATGTTAACTTAGTTATGTAATCCGTTTTCCCCTGTATTCACGGTGTATTATTCATACCCGATGTTTTTCTCTAATGATTGATTATCCTGCTCATATTTTAATTATCTAAATACTTATCCACGAATGTAGCAGGTATAGCCCATGTGTTTTGCTGAGATGACCTTATTATCAACTGTCTCTGCTCATTTGTAAATGGTGTATGCTTGATAACGGCTATTGGATTCTTGTCAAAACTTACTGTGTGAATAATAGTAATATGGTATTATCATTCCTAATCCCTTATTATCCATTTTGTAAGGTAGGTAAATAGAATATAGGGCATCATTCTTTATACAGGCCTTGCTTTTAAAGGAATGCTTTTAAAGTTTCTGGGCGTATTTCTCTTGGGGGCTGGAATAGGTGGTGGAGAGGGTAAGATAAGTAAAGTCCGATAGCGGCTTATATTCTTACCTAGAGAGCCTGTGCAATAAATACTATCGGTGTAGATTGGAATAACCAGACGCTAGAGATAGCCATTCGATTGAGACTTCTGGTGTATTTCGCCGAACATAACTGATTAGAAACTACAACTGCGATGCAATAATGACGGGTTTCACCGGTGCCACGTTACCCAGAACTTATGTCAATTCAGGTGCCACGTTACCCTTGAACTTATGTCACTTCCGGTACCAATGAAACCGTTAAACATATTTCTACACAAGCATTGCACACGTGTTATAAAATGAACGCAGAATCAACCAAATCCAGCAATATCAATTCTATTTATACATTTTTTACCATGCGTTACATATGTCAAAAATGTGATCCTAAAAAAATGGCTACTAACTTACCCCAAGTTAGCTGTCTTTCTAATGGGAAATTCAAATGCGAAAAAAAATCATAAAAAGTGATCTTGACAAAATTGATTATTTCTCGACAAGGGAAGGTACTAGAAGCAATTTTTGGACATCTATATATTAGTATTGATCCAATCTATATGTCCATTGGAATCCAATAAAAAATGTTAAATGAATAATAAATATGACTCAAAAAAAAAATGCTTTTGCCAAAATGACATTACTTCCGGTCATAACGAAAATGTTAAATTAGTTCTATGAAATCATAAATGTCATAAGGCATCACATTTTATTTTATGGAAATCGAATAATAATTGACACTTTTATAGACCAAAAACCTCGAAAAGTGACTTGTAAAAATCGTCTATTTCTCTGCAATCGTACAAGTTAGAAACCAGTTTGTGGTATCTGTATGATCGTATGGGTTCATTCTATTTGTTGATTGGAATCAAATATCATAATTTTAAAAACATTACAAATCAGACTCATTTGAATTAAATATCTGTTCTGTAGGCTAAAATACGCCATTTCCGGTAAATGTGAAAATGATAAATTAGTTCGACCTAGTCAAAACTGGCATTAGGCATCAAATGGTAAAAACAAATTGAAAATCGAATAATAATTGACTCTTTTACAGGCAAAATATCGTGAAAAGTGATGTATGCAATATTGCCTATATCTCGGCAACTGCTCATATTACAAATTAATTTTCACATGCATTAGCTTCGTATGGATTAATGCTACAGGTTTATGAGAGTTGTCAAGAAATATTTTAAAATATGAAAAGCCCGAATACCTTATAAATAGCTCATTTTTACCCTTTTTTCCACCTGTAAATCAAAATGGCACAAATACAAATATTTTGCGTTTTTAGTAGGAGCATTTATCTTGATCTTTTAGATTTGTAAACATTTATATTTGCATTTGAAATTTTGAATTAGTTTGACCTAGTCAAAAACGCATCAAATGGTGTTACTTTTATGAAAATCCAATAATAATTGACTCTTTTACAGGCAAAATACCTCATGCAAACTTGCCTATTCCTCGGTAACTACTACAAACTAATTTTGACATACATTCTCTTCATATGAACTAAGGCTAAAAATATAAGAAAGTTACGAAGGAATGGGTTTCAAATAGACCATTTTTACACCTTTTTTTTCACCTTTAAAAATGAAATCAAAATTCAAAAAACTGCTTCCGACTTGTTTTGGCGTCTTTACATAGCATATCTTTTTACTTATTTTTTAAAAAAAAATAATATTTGCTTGCGAACAGACATTCCTATAACCGCCAAAATGGTAGTTTTTGTCCAAATTATGTCATTTCCGGTACCGCCAGAAAACTTTATCGGCAATAAAAAAAGTTGAGACTTTTGCACCATTTGGCATATAAACTTTGTTTTACACAAATCGAGCAATAAATAATTAACCTAGAACCCATAAACTGAATTAGCCAATAGCGGCCAAGGTAAATTATCGATACAAAAATTGTTCATATTTTTGCTCAAATCACACGACCTTTTAATTATGGGTAAAATGCCATAAAATATAAATAAAAAAGTTTTTTTGTCAAAATTTAAATTTTCAAAATTTGGAGCCTAATATCTGCGAAGATTCGTCGAAAATAAAAAATCCAAACAACCGTAGATGTGCCTTGTCTCAGACTATGTCAACATGTATCAAATGTTAAAATCCGATGATTATTGTAAATATTACAGCAATATTTTAAAAAAATGACAACTTGGTGATTTCGGACATTTCACACTGTCTCAGAAAGTTCGAAATAGCTTTAAACTCTTAAGTCACCCACTTTCACGATAAAACCGAAGACATCTAATCAATCCGACAAGTAGTTTCTGAGATATGCCCAAGCAGTGTGAAACCCTAATTACAATAAAAACTGAAACAATTTAATTTTAATCAGTTTATGTACAATAATACATGCATTACATTATTATATGCGTTGCGACTCGTGTGTTAATTTCTACGTCCGAAATATTAGCGATGTAGCTCCTTAAACGGCCAAATTGGCTGTTTGGACGGACGTCAAATTGTCTTCCAGCTGATGATGATATATGAACTTTCATATAAAAAAAATGGCTGGAAATGATCTTTTGCCCACCAAAACCTGTAAATAGACATGTAACAATCATAGTATGATGAGAATGTCTCAACGTGTTCGAGGTGTTTCAAATACATCATCGAATGGACAGTATACAGAATATCTATTCAGTCATATTATAATATTTCGATCGCTAAAACAGTCATGTAGAGGTGATGTTTACTCCTCTTAATGTAAAACGTCACCAAAAAACGTTCTTCAAACACGAACCTTATTATTGTGAAATTATGATTCCATTTTATAAACCGATTAACTCTGTCTTGTATGTTTAAGTAAATATACAGTCATATTATATGCATTCAGCAAAAGTAATGCTATAGTTTTTATACCATTATTGTAATATATATTAATGATTTAGTTTTAATACCATTATTGGTTGATCAATATAAACGAATGCACTAGTTTTAAAACCATTATAGTTTGATAAATATGACTCAATTGAACGATTTATACACACGGAATACAACCATTAATGTTTAACATCCTATTGAAGATAACAGCAGCGTGAACGTGAATAGTCATCAGAGATTCTTTGGTAGGAATCGACATTATTCGTTAAAACACATCCACAGCAAGCGCGTTGTCGCAGTTTATAGCAAGGGTACACAGAACCGATTAACATAAATATGCTGCGGATGAACCTGGGAGACAATATACGATAGTGAGTCGAGTTTAGCATAGTCTCGTTAAACACTTTCCCCAAGTTTTTAAAAATCAGTTTCATTGGTGATCCGCTGTTTCACAATTTTTAGTGGGCTATGCCGGACAAGCGTATCAAGTTGCAGGGTTTTGTGTCGGTGCCAGTAAATATTTCCCAAAGTTCTTGGAAAAATTGGACGAATATCGTCTGCTGTATGGCGAACTGGAGAAAATGGTACAGATTCGACGATTTCATAAATTATTCGGTGTTACAACTTGCATAGGTTATGTGGGTTCAATCGTAGCAAACTTTAGGCAGTTAAGAAATTATATGTTGATAGCAGCTAAGAACACCCCGGCTTTTTTCTACCCATTTGATGTTAATAATCCGATTACTATGATTTCCTTCCAGTTTTATCTGAGTGTGGTGTTGTGTCTGACTTCAGTTGTCTCAAATTTAGCCTTCATTCTTTTTTTTTCAACATCATATATCTTTGTATCAGAAATTAGCCACATAGAAACCCGAATAAAGGAACTCATATATTCTAAAATAGCCAACTCTCCAAACTGTAAAAGGGAAACAATAATTGACCGGAAGCGAGAAATCAACCACATGGGATGCAGACAAAAAGGGAATAGAATTAACCCTAATCTGAAACCGGCTGGTGTTTTAAGTTCGTTTGAACAGACAGGGGGGCAGGAATTAAACGAAAATTCTGATTTGAAGCAAAACAATACAGGAAATAACAGTACAACTGTCGACTGTGAAGTCGCCTTCGAAGGATTGAGACAAAAGTATGAAATGCTGCTCGATATTTTATCCACAGTCAATTCCTTTTTAACCCATATCATCTTTTCATCTTTTGTCACAACTATCCCATTAACTTGTCTTGTGTTGTATGGGCAGATAAGAAGCGTACTTACTAATGAATTTTGGAACAGTCTGCTGTCAATAACAAGCACGTCATTTTACCAGATGTGTATGGTGTTATTTGTGGGAGCTTATGTTAGCGTCAAGGTAAGTAGTTCGTGTCCACGTTTTTGTTTAGCAAGCATCCAGCATCAATTTCAATAATAAAATTATCATGTATAAATACTTTCTTTTCACTGTTCATTGTAAATGTATTTGTTTCTTGTTGATGCACACGAAACAAGCCCAATTAAAAATAGAAAGTGATTAACAGTATTATTAATTGTAATCAGCGATTAAACGTAGGTAGATGTTTCAAGACCGTAGCTCAAATAACATACATTATACAATGTTGGAAATCTCAAAAGTTTTTAAATTTATTTAATATAGTTAAAATTATATTAAATAAATGTTTTTGATTTGGAAATGTATTTGGTCTGAAAATTAATAATATTTACTATAACATGATAACATAAAACACAATATCGAAATCAATATAAATACTATTTACATTTTACAATAATGAATTCCTACATTTCAAAGAATGGTATATATTATAGTTGGGTAGAATGTCAATAACTGATGCATTTTACAATAATGAATTCCTACATTTCAAAGAATGGTATATATTATAGTTGGGTAGAATGTCAATAACTGATGAGTTTTCGTTCAAACTATAAAGCATACTATATAAATAGTATATAATTATTTTATCCAATATTTTATGTATTTTACCGCATATGCTGGATATAGTGAGTATCGTCCAATATTCCCTAAAATAACACTGGCACTTGAACACAATATCGAAATCAATATAAATACTATTTACATTTTACAATAATGAATTCCTACATTTCAAAGAATGGTATATATTATAGTTGGGTAGAATGTCAATAACTGATGAGTTTTCGTTCAAACTATAAAGCATACTATATAAATAGTATATAATTATTTTATCCAATATTTTATGTATTTTACCGCATATGCTGGATATAGTGAGTATCGTCCAATATTCCCTAAAATAACACTGGCACTTGAACGTTTAAGAACCTTGAGCACATGATTTGAAAACTTTTAATTTGTGGGGCATAATATGTATGTCCCCAGGTTTCTGCCCCATAGAGAAGTATTGGTACAATCATTTTGTCGAACATTTCAAGTGCAATATTTAAACGTATGCCATGACATTTTTATACGCCCACATTTTCATGTGGACTTACATTGTCGTCGCCCCTGTCCATCCGGACGTCTGTCCGTCCACAGTTTGTTTGTTGACATTCTACAGGTTACAAAATTCTTATCCGATTTTGACGAAACTTGAAATATAGCTTTATCACCAAAAGATGTGGACACTCTAGAGGTCACAATTGTCATCTGATCTCGATGAAACTTTAAATGCATGTTTTATAACCCAACGATCTTGGTTCCTTTCGATATTTGCGCATATCGGATCATAACGCCCCGATTGTACGAAAAATCACGCCTTTAGCGTGTGTCCCCTCTAGAGGTCACAATTATTATCCGATTGAACAAAACGTTCGAGTATATATATCACCGTTACATCGTAATGATGGTGGAATTCGGATTTCGTGAAAATAGGACCAAAACGGCCGGACAAAATGGCCGCCCCTCGTACGCAAATAGTGTAAAAAAAATATGGTATATCAAGGTCATTATGTAAAGGTCATAATTCTGATCCGATTTTGATGAAACTTAGAAATACATGTTTATAGCAAAAAGATCTTGGTACCTTTCGATATTCGCACATATGGATCGTAACTTACTGAATTATGGCCCTTGATTTACGGAAAATCGCGTTTTTAGCTTGTGGTCTCTCTAGGGGGCCACAATCTCTATCCGATTTAAGAAAAAAGCGTTTGAATATATCACCGTTACACCCTAATGATGGTTGAGGTCGAATTTCGTGAAAATCGGACCATAACTGCCTGACAAAATGACCGCCCCTCGTAAGCAAATAGTGTAAATATATGGTATATCAAGGCTGTAGACCCTCTAAAGGACACAATTTTGATGAAACTTGAAATACATGTTTATAGCCGACAGATCTTGGGCCCTTTCGATATTCACGCCTATCGGATCGTAACTTCTTGAATTATGGCTCTTGATTGTAGGAAAAATCGCGTTTTAAGCTTGTTATCCCTCTAGAGGTAAAAATTTTTATGACCGTTACACCCTAATGGTGGTTGAGTTTGAATTTAGTGAAACTCGGACCAAAACTGCTGGACAAAATGACCGTCCCTTGTACGGAAATAGAAATAGTGTAAATATATGATGTATCAAGGTTATGGATCGTCTAGAGGACACAACTTTGATGAAACTTGAAATACATGTTTATAACCCTTCGATATTTACGCATATCGGACAGTAACTTCCTGAATTATGGCCCTTGGTTGTACGAAGAATCGCGTTTTTAGTTTGTGATCCCTCTAGAAGTCAAAAGTTTTATCCGATTGGACACAAAAGAAAACAAAAACAAAAAACGTTTGAATACACCGTTCGTTACACCCTATAATGGTGGTTGAGTTCGAATTTCGCGAAAATGGATCTTTATGCGTGTTGAATGTTTGAGATATAGAGGATATTTGTCGTTTTAGAGTGAATAACATATTTTATTTCATCGAGAAGCAAGAAAACTTATATTTTCACGAATGCGTAGCATGAGTGAAAATATTAACGTTTTCTTGCTTAGAAATGAAATAAAATATGTTATTCACGACAAAACGACAAATGTTCTATTTATTTTATGATTTTACAATCATTTTAGGTAAAAACAACTAGCCAGTGGAATAACACTTTTATTTCACTGATAAAACGCGGTATTCCACTACTGATCATAAAATAAACATTTTTATTTTACTTGATATCATTTAATTAACTTGAGTAACTTTATATATTAAAAGTATTTATTTATTTATTCTTAGAATATTTAAAATATTGTAAAAGGGTCAATATAATGTGTTGTTCTATTTTAAAGATTTTATGTAATAATTGTTTCATGTATATTGAATAAAAAGAGTTTAGTCCGTTAACTGATGTACAGCACGAATTTTCGTTTACGGTATAATTCAATTCCTGAATTTGAAATATTGGTTTAGTGCAGCTAGGAGCCGGTCTGCGCAAGCGTGATAATAGCGGATCAATTCAAATGAAGGTTGTGTATTTTTTTGTATCGCACAATTCTACATGAAAATAGTGTTGGATTGTTATAAATTTTTGCCAGATGTGGAAAGAAATGATTCCTTTTGGCGATCAAAGAAGAATCATGGTGAAAAATAGCCGACAGGGATTCCAAAATAGCCTTAGAACCGAGATGGGGAGAAAAGCCTTACTTTCATATTAGTTGTATAGCGCATTCGCCAGTAACGGATAGAACAGAGCCGATAATAGTACTAAAGTAACCGGTGATTGTGGTGACCCGGTCTGCCCACTTTCACATCCTGTATTTGCTGAAATTGAAAGTGAAAATGGAACTGATTTTGAGAAGGAAGTTTTGGATGCAGACAGAATTATTCTTGAACAGCAGCTGAAAAGTTTACAATTGCCACTGGGAACTCATCATGATGTCGATACAAGTATCGTGGACACACATAAATGTGTGTACACTTTGCCAGATAACACCATAACAGACGTTCTTATAACGTGCTATGTGATATTCTCCCCTGTAGATGTTTTGACAAGGGTAAAATTTGTGACATCATATCAAATGTTTTAGGGGACTCAGAATTACATAATTAATATGGAAGCAGAAGACTCAGATAAAACCGACGAGGAGGTTTCATAAAACTTTTAATAATGCATATCTTATGATACGTACATGTATGTTAGAAACTTGTATAAAATATTACTTTTCACCAGTTTACTGCATTATGTGGAAAATGATCACATAATTTTAAATATTAATTACATCTGAAAATGAATCGCATATATTATTTTTTGAATTTGATACGTTCTTTATAAATATACATTTCTGACCAACCCTACATGTACATTATCTTAATGAATATTACTTTTTCATGGCTATTTGCAATGAGATATATATGTGGATAATATTTAATAAACAGGTCTTTTCAACATACATGTAGTGTTTTTTAATCGTAGAAAGTATATCCAATGTTTATGCATTTGAACGATTTAAAAGACAAAGACATGGCCTAAACCATCTAAACTTTATATATAATTCAATATTGGTAGTTCTCTGTATTACCACAAATTGCTTTCCATTATTGTATGAAATATTTAACTTGGTACTAGCATGAACTAATAATTAAAATATTTTGGGTTCCGATCCGTTTCTTTCCATTTTGTGTTTACTTTGTTCGGACATTAATTGGTACATGTAACTTGTGCTGATCCCTTGGTCGCAGTTGAAAGTCAGAGATGAGTGCCAAAAATGCTGCTGTCCACCCCTATATTTATCATAAAGAATAACCACAGAAAAATGGAATATATATATTAAAGATGAATTATGTAAGAACTAAATCTGCCTATTAAAGGGTTTTATTTTGACTTTATATGTTATATAAACTATTATTTAGACATTTATTCATATGGCAAGATAAGCCTATGATAAACTCTCTAGGCAATCGGATGGCGCAAATGTAAACAGATTAAAATATGACCGCCATTTAATGATATTCACAAGCCTATGATCAACTCTCCAGATCACCCGAATTTAGGATTAAAGTACAGTAAGAATTCTACATAAATGCTAAAAACAATCCCACTGAGTTCCACAAAGATCTCCTTCGGGTATTGCATTTATGATATCCTAATAAACAATCACACCTATATCCTGTTCACAAGCAGTACCACAATTGTGGATGAATGAACTCGGGGATATTATATGTTAACATTAAACATGGGTGTATAAAATTGCATATAAATAATTATCAAAGAATTTCCTACTATCCCATACTAAAATAACACTATTCCTTTAGTTTTACAGCACTTATTAAATTTAATGAGTTTGGCCATTCTGTGCAATTTTTCATTTCAATTTGAAAAATAATACACACTGCAATATGAATGTCATGCACAAGTATGCTTACACCGTGTTAAAAACACTTTGTATAAGATCTAACCCATAT